AATCTGTTGAAATGATAATAAACAATATTAAACCATACTTCAAGAAAATCAGAGAACCTTAACCAGGGCAGATGTATACACACACCGTCTTACCTAGACATATCATATTCAAACTACAGAAAACCAAAGATAAATAGAAAATCTTGAAAGAAGAGGGGTTAAAAAAAAAAAAAAAGAAGAGAGACACATTAAACAGGATAAAGGTAAGAATTACCGCAGACTTATTTCCCAAACTATGCAATCCAGAAGACAGTAGAAAGAGATCTTTCTAGTACTGGGAGAAAAACAATCTCTCAATTCAAAACCCCTCTCAACTGAAACAAAGAAACAAACATCCTCTCTCATTAACAAGGTAATGTTTTCAAAGTTTTTTTTTTTCCTAATTAGGTTAAATGGTATAGTTATATTGCTTTGTTGCTGTTTATGTGTGAGTATGTGTGTACTTGTGCTTAAGTATGTACACATTTTTTAAAAGTGTGTGGCCAATAAGATGTTGAGTGCAGGTGCTTCTCTCCTAATGTTTTGTCCAAGTTAGATTTTTAGAGACAAATGAGTCAGTTTTAAATAAGGAAACAGAACAGTGTTTCAGAGGATGGAAAACAAGCATAGGCTTCTTTAGCTTCAGGTTCTTAATAACAAAGAGAAAGAAACTTAAATGTTGTCTAGAATCTTATAAATAAATCTTATAAATCACAAAATGTGATTATAGCAGTCTGAGGTTTTTCAATAATAACTCATTGAAAACAAATTTCCTCATTTATGAGTGTGAATATACTAATAAAATGCTCACTTTATTGCTAGTGTGGTTCTTAAAATGCTATAGCTGATGCTATAACCTATAGCCAAAATACTTCGACATCAAAGTATTATTATAGCACATACACCCCAAAAGTATGGTTAATTTTTTTTTTAAAGCACACCTGGGGACCAGCAGTTAGTGTAATGGCTATGTCGCTGGACTCCCACGTAGCCAACCACAGTTTGGGTCCCGGACCTGTTGACTTAAACTCACACCAGGCATGTGTGCGTGCGTGCCCAAGATCCCGAGAGGAGAATGGAGGAGAAGGGATTGCGATGTGGCTATCCCCCCTGGGGGGTGATTTCTCGCTTTCTGTCTCTATGTCTCTCTCTGTCTTTCTGGCGAACGTACACACCCTATAGCAATAAATAAGTAAATAAATAAAAGCACACTTGATATAATACAGAGGGAGAAAAATGAATCAGAAAGTACAGTATGAGAGTAATGATGGACATTCGTTCCACTTAAGTTTCAAAAGCGTCTACTATGTGGATAAGAGACCTCTGACCCATAGACTGGTTCCTCCTTTCCTGTTCTGTTACTCAAGGTATTTTATTCAGCATAACCTACCAAGTTACAAAGATTAATAGTGATAAGAGGAACAGAAAATCTGAAGGGTTCTTGATTTATAAAAAGGTATTGTACAATATATACAGAAAGTCCCTTGATGTACTTGAGACACCCCCAATTTTGACAACTGAAGATATTGTGACTTGTAAGTTCTTTTCATGTCATATTTCAAGTGGGCTATTTAATTATTAGATATTTACCAGATTTTGAGCCCTGTCTATAAAACTTAAGTGAGAAAAATATTTCAGATAGACTCTAATCTATACTTCACTGGGAAAAAAAAGACCAGAAAAAATAAATCTCAAACTCGATGGAGCTTTAAATGCATCATTACTATTCAGTTTTTTCACCTTGACAACAGGAAAGCCTGAGGAGGCATGAGGTAGTATTAATTCTTACATTAAAATGGTAAATGCATATACATGTACACACTGTTGGTTTAATCTCACCAAGTCAGCCTATTAACATACAATTTGGTAGAGAATTTCCTGGAAGCATCTGGTGTATATACCTAAACAGTGGCTGTTTTTCCTCTTGTCTTGTAGATAATGGCTAGCTATAGAAAACTGTGTTTGGAGGGTAATGTAGTGTTTGTATTACATAAAATGTATTAGAGGGGCAGGCTGGTGGCCTAGTGAGTAAGGGTGCTGGACTCCCATGTGTCCAACTCTGGCTTAAGTCCTGGACCTGGCAGCTTGCTTTCTCACTTTCCCTCTCTCTCCCTCTCTCTCTCATTCAGTCCCTCTCTCATCAAATTAAAATAAATAAAGCTAAATAAACTAATTTGTTAAAACATTAAAAGAAATATTAGAATATCTTCTTAGAGTATTTTTACTTTGAATAACATCCATTTTACAAATAGATTCTCTCACGACAGGGACTTTTTTTCCCCAGAAACTTTTTAAAATCAGCATATTGTCTATAATGGTGGAAGTACATGTGATTATTTTTAGTACAAAATTACAATGTGTAATGATTAACTTAGGGTGATTAGTATACCCATCACCTAAACCACTTAGGAGAATTCAAAATCCTCTTTTTTAGGTACTTGGAGATATACAGTAAGTTATTATTAACTATATTCACCCGCTGTATTTTACAACACTAAATGTTCCTCTCATCAGTCAGTGATTTTTATTTCCATCAGTCAACATCCCTTTATCCCTTCTCTCTCCCTATTTTTCCCAGCACTCTGTAGTCATTTTTTATCTAAAGAGAGACTCTTGACAGTAAGTGGTGTCCACATCTGTGGTGTTGAGGCAGCTCCTTGCAGTGACCTTGGCTGCAGCTCCAAACTCTGCTCTCTCTTGCCCCTCACCATCATGCTCCTTCAGAATGGGACTCAATTGTTAGCTCTGTTCATTAAAAGGCATCCTCTGAGCATGTGCACAGGGTTCTTGGGTCATGATTTCATTGGCTGAATGGACCTTGCTCTCTCACCAGGTGAAAGTTCACCAGCACACCTGAAGGCTGGGCCTGTGGGACTCTGGTGGCACAACCATTGGGGCTCTGTGTCTAGAAGAGGTGTTTCTGAACTGTAGTCTAGGGGCCAGTTGCATTGGGGTGCTTGTTATTAATGCATTTTTCCAGTTCCAGTCCTATTAACTGTGATCCAGTATAGGAGGGGTAGTCATTCTGATGTATACTGAGGTTTGGTAATATTCGGGTTACTTAAACTATATTAGGATATCTTACAATATTTTTTGCTTAGAAAAATATCTTCAGGGGGATCAGCAGTTAGTGTAATGGCTGTGTCGCTAGACTCCCATGTAGTTGACTGCAGTTCGAGTCCTGGACCTGGTGGCTTAAACTCACGCTGGGCACATGTGCGTGCATGCCCAAGATCTGGAGAGGAGAATGGAGGAGAAGGGATTGTGGCGTGGCCATCCCCACTGGGGGGTGATTTCGCGTTTTCTGTCTCTCTGTCTGTCTCTGTCTGTCCGGCGAGCACACGCACCCTATAGCAAAAACCTCTCAAAAAAAAAACAAAACCCCCTAAAAAAAAAAAAAAAAAAAAAAAAAAAACTTTTGCAAAGGTACCAAAGCACAATTAACTTTGTTGTGTTTCAAGAACAGAAAAAAGGCCATAGTGGCTGGTACTCAACAAGCCAAGGAAAGAGAGATGTGAGGTTGGGTAGGTTATGTAGGCCCCTGAGCACCATAGTGCACGGCATAATAGATTGAGGAGGGTAGGAATCAGAAGTTTACCTGAAAATAGGAGTCGAGTTGAGGGGGATATGAGAATCATCAGCATTTTGATGGAAAGCTTCTGGAATAGGTAGTCTAACTTACGGAGAAGCTGTGGAGAGAGAATTGAAGAGGGCCTACTCAGAGGACTAGGAGTAGCCATTGATTGGTATAGGTGGAGGCTAGGAGTAAAACCAGGAGACTAGGCCTGCGAAGCCACTAGAGGAGAATGTTCAAAGACAGATGTTTGTTGTGTTATTGCTGCTGGAAAGACTAGAACACTACTGTCCAGTACAGTAGCCGCTAACCACATGTGGCTACTGAGCCCTTGAAATGTGACTAGTGCAAACTGAGTAAAACTAGTGTAAGATAAAATCCACACTGGATTTCAAAGACTAAGTGCAAAAAGAAGAATAAAAATATTTCATTAAGAGACCAGATAGTAGTAAATGAAGTAGTAAAATGAAGCTTTCTGTAAGGCAGTCTCACATGGGAAGGTTCCGGGTTCATGTCCAGAGACCTCCCTGAGTATGCTTGGCACATGTTTGCTCATGATCTGGGGCTGGCTGAAGGCTCGAGGTGATCACAACATCAAGACCCTCTTGGGGGTATTGTCTTCCTCTCTTTGCCCCCTCTTTTTTACTTGTGAAGGAAATTAATAAACTTTTTTAAAGTCTTTTAAATTTTTCATTAATATTATTTTTTAAATTTAGATTTTTTCTTAAGGCACATGTACTCATTGAGGAGAGACAGAGAGGAAAGTGAGAAATCACCCCCCAGGGATGATGGCTACACCACAATCCCTTCTCCATTCTTTTCTCAGGATTCTAGGCACACAAGCACACGTGCTCATCATGATTTTCAAGCTGCCAGGTCCGGATTTTGAATCCTGGTCAGCCGTGTGAGATTCCAGCACCCTAACCACTATGCCACCTGCTGGCCCCTTCATTAATAATTTTAAAGTAATGATTACATGTGAAATGATAATATTTTGGTTAAATAAAATATATTACTAAAATTTAACCTACTTCTATTTACTTTTTAAAAATACGGCTACCAGAAAACTTTAAATCACACATGTGGCTTGCATTGTATATTTATTTTGTAGTTTGGTAACACAGAGCTCATTAGCAAACTTGGTAAGATAAACTGTCTTGAGATTAATACCCAGCAAACTGTTTACACATTGATGAGACTGAATCACCATCATAATAATGCTGTTCTGCCTAAAATTAAATAAGAAAACTCATCAGTATAATTTCTTCCAGATTTTTTGACATGTGTGTAAATGGTATAATGAGTTCAAATAAATTGTTAGTATGTATTTAAATTAAATCTTTTTAAAATCAACTCTCAAATGTAGTTAAAATATTTTTAACCTATTTTCTCTTTCCTTTTTTCTTTTTTCTTTTTTTAATTTTTATGATTTTGGATATCTGGCCAGGAAACTTCATGGTGTTATGGTCAACGTGCCGCACAACTGTGTTCAAATCTGTCACCAACAGGTTCATTAAAAACCTGGCCTGCTCGGGGATTTGTGCCAGCCTGGTGTGTGTGCCCTTCGACATCATCCTCAGTACCAGTCCTCACTGTTGCTGGTGGATCTACACCATGCTCTTCTGCAAGATTGTCAAATTTTTGCACAAAGTCTTCTGCTCTGTGACTATCCTCAGCTTCCCTGCCATTGCTTTGGACAGGTAAGGTCAGGTAGCCAGTGCTCAATTTAAAAAAAAAATATATTGAAAAAATAGCATCATGAAGCAAAAGATGAACAATCACTGTTTAATATACTTCTTTGTAATCTCTTATGGTCAACAGAAAGAGATTGAAGGTCTGAAACAGATGCTTTACAAAAACAGGTTAATTTAACAGCAGCCATAGGAAAAGATCATTGAGAAAAGACCTGGGAGTGCAGGCGCAAAGCGGCTGGACCATAGTCTCTCCAGCTTGGTTGGAATTGGTAGTGTTCATGTTGTAATTTACAATAGTTTGCTCATTTGTTCAATAACTTTGGAATTAGGACTCTGATGTAGGATGGAAACATTTCTGAAAGATTAAGTGGCTGTTTTATGAATGATTAGACGGTCTAGTTGGACTTAGCTAGATAACACCAGAATGTTTTTAGAGGATTTATTTCCAAGACTTCATATCGTGACAGTGGTGGTTTTCGCTTCCCGAAGGAGGAGATTCTTGTATCTTAGTTACTGTTATCTTATACATAATTTGATCAAAGTTAGGAGCAAAGATCTCATTAATCAATAGCTTCTTGCCTTTTCCCTCTGTTGCTAGCACTTCCTGAATACAGTTTAGATAATAGTACATTTTAGAGAATAGAACTAAATATGCAAACAAAGATTGAGAAATATTTTGTGTACATGAGTACTTTTGATTTCAAGATTTAGGGAGAGGAAAAGTTGCTGAAGGGAAAATGCTGGCTATTCTGACTTTATATCCTAAGTGAAAATTTAACTATATTTTGGATGTATTTGAAAATGTTAAACTCTTTGTTTCTTAAAACAAATTTAAATTTTAGTTGTCTGTTAGGATATTGATTGCTGAACTGATCTGTGGAGTCACTTCAGCCTCTCAGGCCTTGAACCCTGATTTCATCAGCTGCCTCATGTCTACACAGAGGAAAACACAGAAAGAGTCACACAAAGTCATTGCCTTTGTGGTTAAAAGAGTGTATTCTTAGAACCAGCAGATGGCATAATGGTGACATCACCGGGCTCACATGTAGTCGACTGCTATTCAAATCCCAGACCTGGTGACTTAAAACTCATGTTGGGTGTGTTTTCATGTGTGCCCAGGATCCCTTGAGGAGAATGGAGGAGAAGGGACTGTGGCATAGATGTCCCCCGGGGGTGATTTCTCGCTTTCTGTTTCTCTGTGTCTCTGGTGAGTGCATGTACCCTATAGCAAAAATCTCTCTCTGTATTAAAAGAGAGAGAGAGAGAGAGAGAGAGAGGATTTTCATGCAGAAAGTCTGGTTTTGAGTCCTGCTGGGTGGCTTTGGGCAAGTTGCTTAATCTTCCTAAGCCTCAGGTTCTTCAGCTGTTGGAAGAATTAAGTGAATTCTTTAGGGCTTCTGCTTGGATTGGTCATATCACCATTTAGCTTTCTTTCTCTAGGCTTCTTCTGATTGGCACATTCTTCCTTAGATATTATTGTCTGCAATCATTTTATCACCAGGTCTTGCTGGAAGCCACTTCAGCTCTTTAGAACCTAGAATCTCACTATCTACAGAGACAAAGAAGCCAGGTCACCAGGCTGGGCCAGACTGGCACATGCAGAGTATGTCCACATTCCCATCTGTAGGGCTCAGCCACTCACAGAAGCAACTAGTAATTGCAGGTGTCTAGATTCAGTGGGCAGGACTTTTTATTTTTTTAGAAGAGAAATAATAAAAAAATTCAGATTTCTATCATTTGTAAATGTCTGAAGTTAATTTTTATTTAGAAAATATTATGTGAACCACTGAAATCCCTTCAGCAAGCTGAATGTATGTCCTGAGATGCCACTTTCCCACGCTTGCTTCATAGTGACTTTACACATCCCTTCCATTGCTCAACAAATGACCCTTGAATGTCTGGAAAGTGCCATTGCACAAGACTGGAATATAAAAGTAAAAAGTCAGAAGTTCTGGTGGGTGCATTTGTATTCATGGCAGGGGCTCTGATTGCTCTTTGTACTATCTGCTCTGGTGAGGTGTTTTTGTTTGTTTGTTTTGTAAGAATTATTTTATTTAATTCATCTTTCTTCTTCTTTCTTTTTTTTTATTTTTCTTTCTTTCTTTTCTTTTTTTTTTTTTTTACTTGACCAGTGAGAGACAGAGAGAGAGAGCAGGAAAGGGAAAGTAAGAAAGCAAGCCACCAGGTCCAGGACTCAAACTGCAGTCGGCCATGTGGGAGTCCAACGCCTTAACCACTATGCCATCTCCTGGCCCCCTCTGGTGGTCTTAAGTCTTTGTACATTGTGGACTTTTCTTTTCTGAAGTCCTTTTCTCTTTTCTTTCTTTCTTCTCTCTTTCTTTCTCTTCCTTCCTTCCGTCCTTTTTTTGGGGGGGCTAACAGTTTCAAGGTATAATTTACATATTATAAAATTCACCCCTTAAAAATGCACAAGTCAGACCAGCAGGTGGCATGGAAGTTCAAGGGCTGGATCCCACACGGCCAACTTCATGTTTCAAGTCCTGGATCTGGTGGCTTGAAAATCGTATGGGGCATGTGCATGTGCCTGCTCAAAATCCCAAGAAGAAAGTGGAGGAAAAGGGATTGTGGGGTGGCCATCCCCCCTGGGGTGGGTGATTTCTCACTTTCCCCTTCCCTCTCTCTTTCTCTCTCTCTCCCTCTCTCCCCTCTCTGTCTCTCTCTTTCAAGTACATGCACCCTATAGCTAAAAAACTGGAAAAAGCCAATAAGCTTTAGTGCACTAACAGAGTTTGGGCATCACCACAATCTAATTTTAGAGCATTTCAGTTACCCTGCAAAGAACCTCATTCCCATTTGCAGTCACTCACCATTCCCACCCCAAGACTTAAGCAACCACTAATCTATTGTACCTTGCATCTTCACATGTTTGCACATTTCATATCATTGGAGTCATATAATGTATTGCTTTGTGTGTGTCTGGCTTCTTTTACTTAGCTTGTGTTCAAGGTTTACCATGTTGTAGCATGTATCAATACTTAATTCATTTTTATGCCAAGTCATAGTCCACATTTTGTTCTCCATTTAGTAACTGCTGAACATTTGGGTTGTTTCACTTTTTGGCCATTGTGAATAATGCTGCTATGAATCCCAAAGTGTTTTGTTTTAGAGAGATTTTTGCTATGGGATGCATGTGCTTGCTGGAGAGATAGAAAGAGAGACAGAGAGACATAAAGTGAGAAATCACCCCTCGGAGGAAATGACCATGCCTCAGTCCCCTCTCCTCCATTCTTCTCTTGGGATTTTGGGCATGCACGCACATGTGCCCTGCATGAGTTTTAAGTTGCTGGGTCCAGGACTTGAACCACAGTCAACTACATGGAAGTCCAATGATGTAACCATTATGCCATCTGCTGGTCCCTCCCTAAGGCTTTTTTAGACCAGGATTCAGCGAGTGGGAACACATGATCTTGAACAGTTTGCTGTCAGACCTGGATGTAATGCAGTAATTCCTGTGGGTTATTTCCGGGCCTTTGGTCTTAGGCAAGGAAATGTGCAAATAATAGGGAATCTTTATTTTCTTCCAGCCAAAAAAAAAAAAAAAAAAATATTTTCCCCTTTTTTTT